CTGCTGACTGAGATTTAAGCAGGTGATCAATTCACTAACGCTGACTGCAATTTTTTTTTAAATTAAAATTCCAGAGTGCAGAAAACTGACATGTAGAGAGCAGTACTATGAAAGAGTAACTTGAGAAGATAACACAACAGTCCGTATCAGCAGTGCCTTGTTGAAGAACCATGAAATATAAGTTGTTTCATTCCTTCATCTCAATCAGAACATAAAGAAAGATTCTTCAGGCTATGAAGTGTGAGGATAAACAGGCTCATGTCAACAAGGCAAGGTCAAGTCAGTGGAAGGAGAGTTCTGTAGTGCTTCACAGCTAGTCCCTTGTGTCACTAGATGGTGCTCAGCATTTGGGTATATACTTTCACATCCTTTTACACAGAAGACTGTAAAAGAGATACTTTTCTCTCTGCTCAGCTTTTCTACCACTTGTGTTTAGTTAGCTATTAGGAATAGCAAGCAAGTTTCATATCTGAGCAACTAAGACCATAGTGTCAGCAACCTCAGTTGTAAATTTTCAGTTCCTGTGGTAGCAAGCAATGATGACAGCCTTGTGGGCAACTGTATTCCACATGAGCCACAGGCTGCAAGTTTTCTTTACTGAGCTAGACTCTTGTGACATGTTATTGTGCATCACTGCATGTTGTGCTACATATCAATGCATTCACTGTGGTTCTATATGAAAGATTTATTATGACAGTGGAGTTAGCAGTAGCAATCTGCAAATAGACTTGAGCTCCCTCAGAATGAAAAACTATTCACTAAAATGGAAGATGCTCATGGGACTCTTGCTTAGGCTCTCTGCAGCTACTGGTTCTCCATCATCAGCCCGAGGGTGGGAACCAGTCGGAGATTTCTGTTCTGCTTTGCCCTTACCTTCTTTCACTTGTCCTGATGGCTTTACACAATTTCCCTACTTTGCCTTCTGTTAGTACCAACTTCATCAGCATTTTGCCCATGCCACGCCTGTCTCAACGCTCTGTTTTTCAGGATAGCATCCTGCTTGAAGTGTGTGGGTTACAATCACACCCACCATTCTACAACACCATTCTGTGATCCCGCAGAAGATTCTTCAAAGTAGGGAGTCTGGGTCTCATTTGTGATGCAGTACTCTGCTCTTTGCAGAAAAGAATAGTGCCAATTTAAATGCTTTGTCTTACACCCGTGGGTTTGGCAATGGTCAATCATTTTATTAGCTCTGCCTTTGGTACTTAAATCAGTTTTCTGCAGTTTGATTACTAGATATGAACAAGGTAGACCATGTCCTTGCTTATTTGACTGATAAACTATATTCAGCCTGTTCATACAATGGATTAAAAAAAAAAAAAAAAGTCAAATAAACTACTTCATAAGACTGTGATGATCTGCGTAGTTCAGTGATAGTAACAACAATATCTGTCCCATATTTTACACAGACACTGATTAGAGACTGTGGAGCTACAGCATAAACCAAAGGTTGCTGTATTTTTCCTTTGAGTAAAACTCAAGTACATTAAAAAATTACTCTAAAAGCCTTTGCAATGATAAAAAGAACTAGCTGCTCATTGATACCTAAACTAACTGTGCCACAAGATGCGAGCTTTTCACATCACTCCTTTCGCAAGAAAGTTACACATGACAGAATTCAAATGAAATAATGTACTGGTATTCTTTGGGCTTGTGGTGTCAGTCCTGGAATCCCCAAGAGTCTCCTAAGCGTCACTGCTTGCATAACACTTTGGCAGTGTAGCACCACTTATGAATTTGACTTGCAAGTGCTAGAATTTATCTGCACTGTATTCTGGAATAAGGGGACTTGCTAGTAGGTCACAGAATGATGAACTGTAATGGATTCACTAACTTTAGTTTACAGAATGTTGACTTTCCCTAATTCGGATCATCTTTTCAAACCTTTGGAACACAAATAGAAAAATCTCTGATTATAGACAGAAAATGACTCTTTTTCTGGTGCAGACCATCTTCTGGCAGACACCCAAAAACACAGAGCTGTAGAGAACATACACACTACTGTGGGTACCAGAAGCACTAAATAGTTCCACTTGCATGAGTTTCATCCAAAGCAGCATGTCTCCTTTGTGAGCTTACAATGAGCTTGTACTGCTACACTACCACTTCTATATTGTTACTGGCATCTTGCACAGCAGTACATTGTGGCACATGATTACATCTCTAATGTTAGCAGGGTACCCATAAGGGTATTCTTAGCAAGAGTTCCTTCTTCTCCTCCCAGAAAGTGGAAGTCCTTCTGGCCACCAAGTGCAGGCTTATGAACAACATTAAGTCAAGAAAAGCTGAAAAACTTGAAATAAGGAAATAGTTTCACAAGGACTTACCAACAGTATGTCTGTCACAACTGCCCAATTTACAGATAAAAACAGCTCTCCAAATGCAATAAAAATCTGCAAAAAAGAAGAAAGCAATGACTATACACACTGCATTGACCTTCTTTGTTGTAAAGATGAAGGCAGGCTCACTGACTATGCTTATTTATGTAAGAGCTGTTGTACATACCCATCTACCTATAAATTAAACACCTCTGTCTGTGCTTACAAACACTAACTTCTTCTTAAAAGGGGGGAAAGGAACCAGAGAAGATATGTGGGTTGCTTTGTGTCACAAATCCTCAGCAGAAGAGCCAAAATAGGAAACAACTACCACCCTCTCAAATATGAACCCAAGAAGGAGAAAGCAAGAGCCTGTGAAGAGAAACTTTCAGCACAGGTTTGAAAAGTGCTCAAAGATCTCCCTCTGCTTGGGTTTCCAAATGAAGCTAATAGAACACCTCTGTGCCAGTACAAGGATTCTTAAAGGCTCCTTCAGAGAGATAACTTCTAAAATGAAATGAACTCCAAGAGACAGGCAGCCTCAAAGCCTTGGTGCCCTGTGGGAATTCCCTAATTCATCACAGATGGAGACCTAGCCATCAGGAAAAGGGGTAGGGCCCCCAACAGTTCATACAGCTGGGGTCTTAGAGAAAATTAACCCTTTCTGCCAGCCCTGGACATAGATTTGAGCAGGCTGTACAGAATAATTGATACTTGAGGAAAGCATTAAATCTACGCTATTAAGCTAGAGTTCTAGAAGGCCATATCTACGTAGTGGCACCGGCCACAAAGTCAGATAGCACCTAGGAAACAAAATCCATTATAACAACAGATGCCAGCATCTTGTTCGGTAAGGTCTTGGTCAAGACGTTGTATCTGGTTGATGAAATGCAGTCCTAAGAAAGGCACAGGGGCAAACGATCAGATGTTTTCAGAGGGGTAGCTTACATTCCCCTAAGAAGAATCAGACCTAGTATACATCTTCCTGTGATACCCCTACCTCCTCTGTGTTTCTTGCCTGTACTCTTCATGAGTTTTGTTCTCCAAACCAGTCTGGAGAAAAAGTTCCTTGAAGTACACAGATATTTAGGATAGACCTTTATCCAGACATCTTTTCCTTCAGAATGCTTTATAAAGGTTTTCTAATTTGCAGCTGAATCTATTCCTCCATACATAATTACTTCTCTTTGAGTCTTATAACAAATATCACTCGTTTCACATGCTCCTTGACTATGTCTTAGCTCTTGGATTTATGCAATCAACTATCAAAGTCTTTCCACTGATACAACCTGGGCAGAACTTGCCCTTGCAAGAGACAGAGTGCGATCATTCCTTCCAGTTCCATGACTGTTGCAATAACAGTCTATAGACCACAGAAATGATGCTGCATGCCAGTCTTAGCTGGAAAGCAAGTGATACACCTTTTGTTAAAGAACTAATTAGAGCCAGCTCAGCCACACTTTGAGCCAAACACAAAATGAAACATGTTCGTTAACATGGGCAACAATATCAGACAGCTCAGCTTTTTGCCAATAACAAATGACTAACAATGTCAAAATTTGCAGCCACCGGAAAATATTAGCCCTTCGTCGCCTTATTTCAAGCTAATACTCTCTGAACTCTCTTGGAAGATCCAAATTCATCAAGGACCTTCCTTTCTTTGTTTCCCTCTGATTCCATACAAATAAACTTTAAATGTGCTGTTGCTTAACTTAGAATTGCAGCTGGTGAAGTGGTCAAAGCAGGACTCACAGAGGAATTATAGGCATGTAGAAGTGCAATTGAATCCTGCTATACAGTGATAATGGCATAAACTTATGTAAATTCTGTCAGCTGTGCTATGGCTAGCAAGAGATAACGCAGGTTAAAGTGAAAAAGGAAGGGGACAAAGAACAAAGAGATTTATTTAAATCCTGGCTGATACTTTAGATTTAGAGCAGCGGGTTCTGAAGACTTCCAAACTGTTCCTAGATATCATCAATGGAATAGATGACTACCTGCCTTTATACATCAAATGAGAGACTGGTCTATAGCCCCCTATAGGAATCTCGTGTTGTTTAGCACTTTTAAAGTGTTGTTTCCAGTTTTCCTTTCTCTTCCTGCTTTTTCCCAGTTATTTAGTCTCTACAAGCCCCTAAGAACAAGAGTATACTATATCTTCCTCATACTGTCTCAACTTCTTTTTTTAAATTAATATGGAAAAGGTTTCCATTAAATTTGTGCAATTGTTTGTGGCATGTTTCTAATCTGCTAAGTGTACCTAGAAAAGAGTGAAACATTGTATTTTATTGCTGTCACCTTCTCCAGGATCCCCAAGTTTTTTAACAGACAACACTTAAAGTTGGTCTCCAAAGGATACAGCCAGAATAATACCCCAAATTTTAAGGGGATTTTGCTTTGTAGATGACTGTTTACATTCATACCTAAAGATAATATGAAGAGAATTAGATTGTGATCAACCATTTCTGTCTTTTTCAAAAAGAACCATGCCAGGCAGGTGTATCAAAGACAAGAGCTGCAGAATGTCTCCTTCAAAGGCAAGTTGTAGAGCAAGACTGCATCCTGATACAGCATTACCATCAAAGGTAAGTCTGTTTAAATCTAAGTTACTGTGAAACCAAATATTGTCCAAGGTTCCCAGTCACAGGGTTTAGTCATGACGTTCCAAAGCACCTGCTGCACTGCAGAGAGCACACATCTTTTGTCTTGTTTTGTAGACAGGAACAGATTTAGACAGAGCTGGATATTTTTTCTCTATCTTTTCAAAGGTAGCATTTGAAATGAAGAACTGGGTGTCCAGAAAGAGAAATCTCATGACATTTCAGTTCACCTACCCAAACAGAAACCTTGGAAGTCCAGCCATATTTCCATGTTAACTTGAGAAATCTTGTGCTTTGAAACATTTCTTCCAGCTTTGACCATAAATGATTAAACCTGTCTTGTTCCCTATCATTATCCACTCAAGACAGTGGAAAGCATCATACAGAAACTACCGCAATTGCATGCTGATGCATGTATGCTTTTCGGCTTCAGTAGCGTCTGCACTGTGAAGCGATGGAGACAGGTTTGCTAATGTCAGTGTGCCTGAGGAGACAGTGACTGGGAAGCCAGTTTCCTGACAGTGTCCTACACAAATGGAAGATTTGTTTCAGTGGGACCTTCAAATTAGACGCACCAGCTGGCACGCCACTCCAATTCTCACACCAGTATGCCTAGTGTCAGATCTTGTTTAGAAAGCAACGAGAGGCACGGCTAGTGCCAGAGAAGGTAATAGTTAAGCAGCTGGAGTGGTAAAAGTACTAGAAGAATCAGGTGTTCAGATTACATACCATTTATGAGCACTGCACATTGTTGACATTACATGTTGGAGCACCTGAATCAAGCACATCAAACAAAAGACAAAATGGCAAAGTCTCCGGTTAAAAGACCAACTGGTCTGCCCGATGGAAGAAACTTAAGGAACACAGTTATCCATACCCCAGTTCAGAATTTCCTCCCAGATAACACACTGCGTGAAAACAGAATGCTGTTTGCAAGGAGAGAAATATTTTAAACAAATTTCTTTTTATCAGTCCTAATAAAAGGTATATTTTGATAATTCAAAACCAATATATTGATTCACTCATCTAACACAGACTGGCAAATGAAATTGTTGTTCTCCACCTTTAACGACAGAAAAAAGAACTGAAGAACATATGTAGAGTGGGACTATGTGGGAGCCTGAGAAGCAGAAAAAGAAAATTGGCTAATTCTTTTGGCACTCAGATGTCCACTCTTGAATCTAAAAATAATCTTCAATTTCACATTTTGCTCTGTGTACACACACTCAGACATGCAAATCCATTTGTTTTTTCCTTGATGTAAAGGTGTTTTTCCACAGGAATACACATTCCTTAGGAGGCAAAAGGAAAACCTCTTTGATTAAGTGTTATTCTTAGAAGCAAAAAAACTACAAAAGTACCCTTTTGCAGAGAACTGTTGATTACTGTAATTAACTTTACTTGGATCCTCTTATTTATGTTAATCATGGTAATTGTGGCTATGGAGTCACAGGAAAAAAGCTTGGA